TCAAACACACATCTGTTTCAAACTTTCATGAATTTCATTTTCCCCACTGAAATTATTTTAATGCAAACATCCCAGAGAGAAGAAACAGTCTTTAACAGTCTTTGTAATTGGTGTTCTACTAATCTGTCTTCTGTGTTTTACTTTCAGCTTATTTTTCCCTGCTCCTAGTGTTTACTGAGGTAGGGAGAAGGAATACAAAACTTTGTGTTATCATGGACAACTTAAAGAAATTTAACTGATAGGTAGTTCATATTATTCTTCAAAATTCAAATCACAAACAAAAATTAGTGTTTAAAAATGCAAAATGAATAGAATCAAAACATATTATTAGATGGTATATTCTGTTCCAGAGTATGTGTAAATGTCCCCTCCTCCATCCCTAAATTGCACTGTTTTATCTTGCTCCCAACATTTTACAGCAGATTGAATCTCAAATGTTTCCCTATATACTCCTAATGGTTCTTAGAGTGAATACTCATTCTTGCTAATATACACACACTTGCAAAACCTAGTCAACATCCAACCCAGAGCAGACAAGCATGAGACTCAGGAGAGCTGGGCATTTTAATTGTACTGACTCCTTCTATGATCATATGTAGCCATGGAAGACCATGAAATACTTGCTTCTGTTAACCAAAGGCTGCTCTCTTCCCAGTAAAAGTCATAGTCTACTTTCAGAACGGATTTACCTGTCTGTGTACTCCCTTCCTTACCTTCATAGTTGAATTTAAATAGATAATACATATTTTTCTCTTTTTCATTGCTTTGCATGCTTTTTTACTTTGAATTACTTTGCTTTGCTTTTAGTATTATCAAATCCATTTTTTCATGTTAGCAATCAGTTTTCTAGCATTGCATTCAATAGTCATACTATATTTAATCAGTGAGTTAAAAATATTTTTATGTTTACAAATAATGCTGTAATGAACATTCTTTTATATAAGTCTTTGCATATTATTATACCAGTAGGATGAATTTTCAGAGGTGGAATTATTGATTAAAAAGTATGGTTTTTTCTTCTCAAGATTCTCAAGTCTATTTTCTGTTAATGGAAATTTCATGTTGCATTGTGACATACATCAGAAAAGTATATAAATGAATTTTCACAAAATGAATATACCTATATGAGCCACCCAGAACAAGAATCAGGATATTATCAGAAACCAGTAACCACTTTCATATCTTCTTTCACTTACTAAACTTCTGAAGGGTAACTATCTCCTCACTTTTAAAGCTATAGACTTGTTTTGCCTGGTTTTGAACTTTATATAAATGGAATCACAAAGTATGTATTCTTGTTACTGGCTTCTTTTTGGTACATGTACTGAAAATATTTCACAGTGCAATGGAAAATTTTTATTCTTTATGTGTTCTTGACCTCTCAGTAATTTAACACTATTAATAACCCCTCAATCTTAATATTTTCCTCCTTTCTCTTCCATGCTGATCATCTCCCGACTTTCTATCTTCTGACTTCTACTTCTTTTATTCCAAAGTCTTCCTCTTCACTCAATTTTAGATATTTGTTTTTTATTTTATTTTTAAATTTATTTATTTATTTATACAAGCACTGGGTACAGTCAGAAGTGCGGGAGGGTGAGAGAATTCACCAGAGCCACAGCAGGGAGCAGAACAGACAGACTGACGAAATACACTGCTGAGGGGAGCAGCGGGCGGCAGGAGAGGTCTGTGCACCATGTGGGACCCTCACCCAGTGGCTGGGGATAGAACTGGTGCTGCAGAGGCTGCGGGCAGCTTCGCAACCCAGCACTCAACTGCTGTGCCACAGGGGAGGAACAATTTTAGATATTTGGTGTACACAAGGTCCAGTCCCAGGTAATCTCCATCAAATACATGGGTTTTTTGGTTACTACTTACATGCCTATGACTCCTAAATTTATGCTCTGTCTCAGACAACTTCCCTGGCTTAAGTTCCCCAATATCTAACTTGATCTCATTGCTTGCATGTTTCATAACTTAATATCCCCAAATAATTTCCACTGTTCCCAATTTCCCAAGGCTTCATGGTATTCCAATTCTTCCTATCTAATTAAAAACACCACCAGCAACAGATATCACAGCATTGGAAATTAGGAGTCATCCTTGACATTTATTGTTACAACCACTAAATCTTGACATTTGTTTCTAAATAACTCTGGCAATAATTCACTTTCACATCACTATTATTCAAGCTAAATGTGGATCACATCTAACTTAGACTGTTGTAGTAGTCTCCCAGTTGATTTCCAAATAGACAAGTCTCTGCTTAAAACCCTTTTTTTAAAAAAAAAAGATTTATTTATTTTTATAAACAAAGAACTGGGGTACTGGCCAGATGCGGGGGAGGGTGAGAGGATTCACCAGAGACAGAGCCGGGAACAGAACAGGCAAACTGACGAAATACACTGCTGAGGGGAGCAGCGGGTGAGACAGGAGAGGTCTGTTTCACCATGTGGGATTCTCGCCAGCCAGCCGGGATCAAACCTGCGCTGCAGGAACTGCAGACAGCCTCACAGTTCATTGCTCAACTGCCTGGGCCACCAGGGAGCCCTCCGCTTAAAACTCTTCAATGGTTTGTTTATATATTACATTGAAGAATTTTCTGAAATCAGCACTGAGGGCCTACTTACATTTGTTTAGACTTTTCCTACTTGAATCTTTCTCTTCTTGCACTTTTCTCCTTAATCCCAAAATTGTTTCATACTTTCTTAAAAGGCTTAATATGTTTACAGTAAAGATAAAAGTAAAATCATAAAATGATTGATGCAATTTGGTAGACACAAAATCCCCTTCAAAATGTGGAATTCATAATCAACAAACAACTTTGAACCAGCGACACTCTATGGGGGGTGGGGGGTGGGGAGGGGAGGGATTGGGGTCAAAATAAGGGGGTTGCAATTGTATGGAGAATATAAAAATAAAATATATATATAAAATGTGGAATTCATTGTTCAGTTGACAGAGGTGGAAAATTCAGAAAGCAATGAAATAAGGAAATAATTGTCCCCACAGAGTTCTAATATGCTTAAGAAGTCAGATGGCATAAAGACTAACAGTACAGGCTTTAGAATCTGATAAATGCAGGATCCTGATCTAACTTGACCACTAAAAATCTGCATAACATTTGGTGAGTCATAACATCTGAGGCAGAATTTCCAGAGTAAGACAATATCTTATCTTAACCCTTCACAAAGATATAGATATTATTTGGCTCAATTATCAGCACATGGTTAAATAAATAGCAGGCATATTATTGGGGAGAAAATAAGGCTATAATAATATTGTTTTGTACGAGGTAGGAGAAACCCATGCTCAATCAATGCTAAAGATAATGAGCATCCCTGGGGCAGAAACTAGACCACATTATCCCAAGAGGTTTATGGACTCCTGTTACTTGGTGCTCTTCCCTCTGGCACCAAGGACAAGTTTCCAGGTAACCACTGGCTCAGGATGACCTAAGCATATATTCATTCCCAAGGAGTCTTATTTTTTATCAAAATGAAACTCTCCTTCAGACAGCTTAGTTACTTTTCTCAGGATACACTTTCACCTCTATCTTTGTAGTTGGGAATTTGCGTCCTCCACTGGAATAAGAAACCAATATTTTCTACATGGCGAAGTCAACTTTATCTAGACCAGGCAAACCCAACCATTGTGCTTGTGCCTGCTTTTGCTGCAAGTGGAAGAGCAACGTTCGTGATATTTATCTCCTCCTTTACTGTGCTTGAAAGACATACATCCACAACCAATGAAAACACAAATTTTTAAAAAATGAAAAGGATAAAAGACTAGTTAACGTGTCAATTTAATTTTTTAAACATTTAAATATCCTTTACAAAAAAGATTTAGTGAAAAGAATAAATCAAAATATAAATGACAGCATTTTGTCTTAGTCTCTAGCATTGATTATATAATTTCAGAGAAGTCATTTATTTTCCTTGGTCCTCAAAGTCTTCCTACGTAGAGAGAGAATTAACATTTATTATCCTATCAAAATTCTGAGCATATACATATGCAGATAGAACATATGAAAGGAATGAATATATATGTGTTGTATATGTAAGTGTGTTTATATATGCATTTGAACATCCACTTTCACACCTATGTATGTATCCTAGTTTCTTATGAGCGAGAGGATTGCAAACAAAGAGTCTGGAATAGGTGATACATAAGGTCCAGTTCTATCCTCACATCATCTGCTGTTTCTACCATTTAAAATGCCCTTGTCATTCTTCCATCCAAGCAACTGAACAATGTGAACTTGTTAGAAATGCCAATTCTCAGACTCTGTCACAGATTTACTGAATCAGAGACTGCTAGAGAGGCCCAGTGATCTGTGTTGCAACCAGCCCTCGAGGGGATTCTGAAGAAAATCTCTACATTTGAATGTTCCCAAGGAAGAACTATAGCCTCATATAGCATGTAGAAGTGGAGAGCCCATAATTAAAAGGGAAAAAGTAGGATATTCTGCAATGAACTTGGGTCAGAGGCTAGGAAGAGTTTGGTGAAATATAGCAGCAGCGGGCAAAGGGTACTGTTACTTATAGTAGTTGGGAATTGGTGTGGATTTGAGAATGTAAAGTAGAAGTCCAATACTAATTATAAAACAGAAGTGATAATAAAACAGGAGCCACAGGCTTCTGTGTTAAATCATTTGTCGCCAGGTACTCATTTCTGCTATTGTGTTAGCAAGAGCTGATTTCAGAACCTTTTTCCGATGGTAGAACACAAAAGAGGATAAGTATCCTTTATTTTCAGCCATAGTTGTCTCTGACCCTTACAGTTATTTATTGTAGAAATCTGGGACAGAGAGAGCTAAGGCTTCTCTGTTTGTTCCTGCACGTCTTTTCCAGGACCTCATCAACCACCTAAGATTTTCCTGACTCCAATTTTAATTTTCCCCACATAGGCTGCTAAGGGTGTGTGTGTGTGTGGTGTGTGCGTGTGTGTTAAGGGAAAAGAAAACACTTCCTAGTATTTCACTGGGCTAAAAGGTAAGTTTAGCTAGAGAAAGCTGAAGGGGTGAGAATAAGTCTATGAAAACGACAAGGCAAGATCTCAGCATGGACACTCTTCAGGAGGTTTAAGGAGGCCTTATTGTCATCCAGCACGTTGCCCTGAGTGGGGAATCCCCGGCTTTGCAGCTTCTTGGCCAGTGTAAGAGCCACCAGCCGACTATAACCTTTTCTGCGATGCTCAGGTAAGGTGTAGCCATGGCACATGGTAGCAAACTGATCTGTTAAACTCCAGGAGACTGGGTTTCCCTTGTCATCACGGACACACACACTGGGGAAGCTGGAGATGAGGCTGGCAATGTACCGGAGACACTGTTCATTGCCACCTCGAGACCAAGTTCTATTGAGTAGATCAGCATCGGCAACACTCAGGTAGGTTAGTCTTGGAGGAGATGTCATTCTAGAAGAAGATGACATGAAAAGAAGTATGAACTCATGTGATTACAAACAACAGCTTTTTTTTACACTGTTTCAAACTGAAAAACCATCCCAGAAATAGCACTTAGTAAACACCCAAACATCTTCAGTGCATTAGAATCCCTCACTTTCATTTCTGAGAATCATCACATTTCACTTCTGAGAGAACAAAATACACATTATACCAAAGTTAAGTCTTTCCTTTTAGTTTTATGCACATTTATTATTGTCTTCAATGTAGATTTTATTTATTTTTAATTTTTAGATTTATTTTTATTTATTTATACAAGCACTGGATACAGTCAGAAGCGCGGGAGGGTGAGAGAATTCACCAGAGCCAGAGCGGGGAGCAGAGCAGGCAGAAGGACCGAAGCACACTGCTGAGGGGAGCAGCGGGCGGCAGGAGAGGTCTGCGCACCATGCGGGACCTTCCTCCGGTGGCCGGGGAGCAGCCGGGGATCGAACCGGCGCTGCAGAGGCTGTGGGCAGCTTCGCAACCCAGCACTCAACAGCTGCACCACCGGGGAGACCCTTCAATGTAGATTTTAAAAAGCATTCTGTTTTTCTGTGAAACATTTCTCAGATTTGGCTTTTATTAAGTTGATACTCTCTGATGCCTTGAACTAATACAGATTCTACAGCCTTTAGTCTTTTGTTTAGCACAAAAAAATGCTTTAGGGTAGAACTTCTATATTATGCATCTGTGACCAGAGCAGAAATAAGAGTTGCTTAATATTCCAGGGTTATGTAGATGCTCATGAAATTGCAGTGCTTCCAAACCTTAACCTAAAAGATATGGGAAAATATCTAAAAGCCAATGGCTGGGAGATATGGTAAAGAAAAAGACAGGAATTGGTGCAATTTCTAAGAAATGAGATCGATTACTTAGTGGAAGTCCTATGGGCTAGCTGTGTCTCAGAATTAATTTTTATTCCTGAGGTTATCAAATATTATAAGATCATCCCTCGTAACCGTTAAGAGACTGATAATGCCATTCTTGCTTTGATCTTCTTTATAAGGTACAAGTTTTGTTTTGTTTTTTTCATTCATTGTTATGGAGTGTTAGTCCACATTCCGAGCATACTGGGGCTCTCACATTGAATTAATGGCCTAACCACTAAGCAGAGATAAATAAATACAAGCAATGACTGGATAGATGACCTTGTATCAAAAGGTCAGAGTACTCAAAATAGAGTCTACAAAATTTGAGTGGTGACATGTGTTAAAGACAAATCATCTAACTTCCTATGCATAAAAGAGCAATTCAAGTCAAAATTTATTTTTAAAAGACCTGACTGGGGATAAAGAAAACTTTTAGATAACATCTCAGGGATATGACATTAAATAGACTGTGGGAATCTCTAAAATTCTAAAGGACAAATAGCATGCTATCTTCTACAACTGTAATGGAAGAAACAAAAAAGATGAAAAGAGAATCTGTATGTCAAATAAAATTAAGAACAAATGGCAAATAATATTATAATTTGGGAAATGTGGCTACTAACTGGCTAGTTTATCATAAAGAAATAGTTATTGAAATTTTAAGGAGAAAAAAGTTAGCAAAGCAGGCTTGAAGTTGCTTTTCTTTAGAAAAGCTTTCTTGCCAAGTTGGCCTTTGGTGGTTGTCTGGCAACTTGGATTCTGGAACCTCCCTGCCATCCCCAGAGCAGACAGGAGTGGCTTACTGTGCCTAACTGTGTGTACAATTGTGTGCTCCATGCTGAACACCTGCTTTCCCCTGGGAATGCAGGAAGTTGGCATATGCTAGGCAGTGGTTACCTCTAATAAAAATCCTACACGTGTTGTCACAACTCATTGTTGAGGAAATTAAGCATGCCCTGTGTGACTCCACTAGATTAAGCTCCTGGAAACTCGTGTCTGGATTCCTTTGATTTTCACCAATGCTCCTTTTTCCTTTGATGATCTTGCTTTGTATGCTTTCTATATGTTGAGTCCAATGAGTCTTCCTAGGCAACCATTAAGCCTGTGGGTGATCTTGGGAACCCCTGACACAGAAGTGATACTACTATATAGTGTTTTTTAAATTTTATTAAGAATCTGTATCTTTTAGTGATATATATTAAAATAACTAATAGTAGGATAATGCCTGGGCTATTTCCTTCAGAATTATCCAAGGAGTGGAAAGAGTAGATAGAAGAGTGGATGAAATAAGATTAGCCATTGATTGATGGGAGGTTCATTATGCTAGCCTTTCAACCTTTGCAGTCTTTGAAAAGTTTCATAACTGAAAAAAATAAAAAGAGAAAGCTATTATTTTATGTGACTCAACGTGCCTGTTCTTATTTGGACTCAAGTCTTATTTTGCTTATGAAGGAATTGCTTTGTAATATACTCTATGAAAGTGAAGAAAACTAACATTCACTGAGGTGGATACTCTTCAAGTATCATGTTTCATTCAAAAAAGGTGTGAGGAAGATACTATAGAGAAATTTTTGAGAAGATGAAATTGAGGGCCTTGCCGGTGGTGCAGTGGTTGAGCGCTGAGTTGCGAAGCTGCCCGCAGCCTCTGCAGTGCCGGTTCGATCCCCGGCCCACTGGGTGAGGGTCCCACATGGCGCGCAGACCTCTCCTGCCGCCCACTGCTCCCCTCAGCAGTGTACTTCGTCAGTCTGCCTGTTCTACTCTCCGCTGTGGCTCTGGTGAATTCTCTCACCCTCCGGCGCCTCTGACTGTACCCAGTGCTTATATAAATAAATAAATAAATAAATAAATAAATAAATAAATAAATAAATCTTTAAAAAAAAGAAAGAGAAGATGAAATTGAGACTCAAAGTTTAAGCAGAAAAGAAGGTAAATAGTAAATGATGAAGGACTCCAAAGTAAGAAGAAAGTTGGAGAGCAGATATACACTAACAAATGTTTTGAAGACTTGGATTCAGGACCCAGACTTCTTGGGAAGATTTCCTGACTCTACTGTTTTTTCCTGTTACCTCAATTTTGTTCACAAAGTGAGTAGGAATAGCACTACTTTACAGGGTGGTGTAAAGGACTCAAGAGGTAATATATTTAGAACTTTCAGTACCTAGTACATAAAAGCTCAGCACAAGTCAGTTACACACTCTCATCGTTAACTATCTTGAATTCAGATAACAGAGCCTATTAAGAAGGACTACAAATCAGAGACATTCTGCAGGGGAGGGAGAGGGAGAAGGATCAAAATGAGGGTGAAGGGAAGAGCACAAGGGACTATGGTGATGGTTCACAGGTGAATAGGTGGTGGGAATGCTATGGGGACTACACCTGATGTAAAATATATATAAAAAAATTTAAAAATATATACATACTAGAAATGTACATAAAGTTACAATGCAATATTATTTCAATAAAAAATAAATGCTTATTAAAAAAGAATTATTTGAGGGGAAATACCAAGGCATGACTTGTCCATATTTACTGTGAAAATACAGGTCTCCAGAGTTCATTTACTACTATGGACAAAGACAATAATTTGCTTAGCAGGAAATTATGAGCAGTAAAGCAAAACAGAAAGGAAAGGAGTAAATACACCGTTCACCCCTCACCCCCACAAAACACACACACAATTACTCAAACATCCAAATCCAAGTCCTAAATATCCCTACATGATACTAAGTACTTCAGTGACGAATGTTTTTATTTCTATACAATAAGTCCTAATCCCAAATGTAGAAACCTTGTTTACATACAAGGAACTGGTATCTGGTAGAGTTGAAACAGGAGAAAAATGAACTGCCTTGAAAGAAGTTAGCTTTACAGACAACTGTTTTGAGTTGGCAACAGCTTTGGAAACATCACATAACTCACTCTGCAGCCCTGCAAATAGGAAGACATAATGAAAAATGAGGAGACTTTATTTAAAAACACAAAAAATAAATTAGTTGCCGTATTTTTATACTGTACATAATACATCAATTTGCCTCCTTATATTATCTCAATCACTATGTATTTATACAAATGAATTACTGCAATGACTCCCTGTTTGATTCCCAAATTTTTTGTTGGCTTCTGAAAATGTCAGGTTAGTACTCACGTCCACAAGTCCTCTCTCATTGTGCAATCAAAAGAGTCTGACATGTCTGGGGAGCTCTGTATTTTTTTATCTCCTCCTCTTGCATGGCAAACACAAGAGTTTTGTTGCACTGCGAAGATTAGTGCTAGGGTTAACCCTAATTTAGCATGGTTTGTGGATAGATAGCTCTTAGGTTAAAAATGAAAAAGGCATTTCTGTGCAGGGTATGTTGTTGTTCTGAACATTCAGTGCTAAAGTTGTGTCTAAGGCTAAGGCTTGATCTACGCAGGTAGCCCTGCCGGTAGCTCTGACTGGAGCCTGCAATGCGGCAAAAGATAATTAGACTGAGGAATTTTTCACGATTTGAGGATTTTTGGGAAACAGCATCACTTTAAACTCTGATAAAGAATAGTAAAGAGGGCCTCCCTTGTGGCGCAGTGGTTGAGCGCTGGGTTGCGAAGCTGCCCGCGGCCTCTGCAGCGCAGGTTGGATCCCCGGCTGCTCCCCGGCCACCAGAGGGGGGTCCCACATGGCGCGCAGACCTCTCTTGCCGCCCGCTGCTCCCCTCAGCAGTGTACTTCGGTCCTTCTGCCTGCTCTGCTCCCCACTCTGGCTCTGGTGAATTCTCTCACCCTCCCGCACTTCTGACTGTACCCAGTGCTTGTATAAATAAATAAATAAATATTAAAAAAAAAAGAAAAAATGTTTAAAAAAAAAGAATAGTAAAGATACTAATGACTTCTTAGAAGCTATTCAATATTTCAGAGATAACAGTTATTAACAAAAAGTATATAGTCAAGAGACCACATCAGAAGCCAAGAGTTATGCCTGTACTGACTTATATGCTAAATGAGGGGTCTTTACCCAGTCACCAACATTAGGCATTATAGTTTATACCTGTCCCACCAAACCTTCTCGAAGGGAATTTTGGGTCAACCTAAAGGACTATAACTGACTAAACTGTAAACTTAGCTTTCTGAAAAGAATTGTTGCAATGACAGGGAACTTCTTCACATAGTGATATATTCTGGTGATGTGAGGGCAGTAGGTCAATAGGACCAAAATCTATCCAACATCAAGGAAGAGATATTCTCATTTTCACATTAAAGTATATTGTGGGCCTCCCCCGTGGCGCAGCGGTTGAGCGCTGGGTTGCGAAGCTGCCCGCAGCCTCTGCGGCGCCGGTTCGATCCCTGGCTGCTCCCCGGCCACAGGAGGAGGGTCCCACATGGCGCGCAGACCTCTCCTGCCGCCCACTGCTCCCCTCAGCAGTGTACTTCGGTCCTTCTGCCTGCTCTGCTCTCGCCCTCCCGTGCTTCTGACTGTACCCAGTGCATGTATAAACAAACAAACAAAACAAATAAATAAATAAATAAATAAAACATGCCTCTATTAAAAAAAAAAAAAAAAAAAAAAAAAAAAAATTTAAAGTAATATTGGTGAGAAAAATTTAAATTGTTGGTCGAACCATGTTTTACTTCTCAGCTGCATAAGAGGGTTAAATTTCATAAAGGCAAGAGATAGTTTAGAACTTTTTTAAAGATTTATTTATTTATGCACACAAGAATTGGGGTATAGGCCAGAGGTGTGTGTGGGGGTGTGTGTATGAGAGGATTCACCAGAGGCAGAACGAGGAACAGAACAGGCAGATTGACTGAAATACGCTGCTGAGGGGAGCAGGGGGAGAGTCAGGAGAGGTCTGCTGCACCATGTGGGTATCTCCCTGGCTGGGGATTGAACTCGTGCTGCAGTGGCTACAGATAGCTTCATAGGTTGCACCTTAACCCCTTGTGCCACCAGGGAGGCCCTAATTTAGAATTTCTTACATGAGGTCTTTTTAAGAATTTGCAGATGGATTTTACAGAACATTCCAAAACTTTAGTCATTTATGCATTAATTGTTGTAGTTGAGAAACTTTTCTTCAAAAGAGGATTTCAGCTGTCTATGACTAAAAAAATACTACTAGACTTTACTTTTCTAACATGGGAATCCTATCTTCCTGTCAAGTGATTTAAGGACAGGTTTCATTAGAAAAGTTATAAACTGTAAGTTCATTGACTATATCAACTCCCAATCATTTTGAAAAGTTGAAGGAGTAAGTCACATACTGAAGCTGAAACTGTGCATACAAACTATCAGAAATTCTTAATATGCTTCTGTCTTGGCCTCAAGTTCTCCACTAGCACTGAAGGTCATGCAATTATGTCCTTGGAACTCACATATACTCTTTTTTTTTTTTTTAAAGATTTATTTATTTATTTATACAAGATTTATTTATTTACACAAGCACTGGGTACAGTCAGAAGCAAGGGAGGGTGAGAGAATTCACCAGAGCCAGAGCGGAGAGCAGAGCAGGCAGAAGGACCGAAGTACACTGCTGAGGGGAGCAGCGGGCGGCAGGAGAGGTCTGCGTGCCATGTGGGACCCTCCTCTGGTGGCCAGGGAGCAACGGGGATCGAACCTGCGCTGCAGAGGCTGCGGGCAGCTTCGCAACCCAGCGCTCAACCACTGCGCCACCGGGGAGGCCCACATATACTCTTGAGCACTTCTTTCCAGAATTGTTTGCTTCAGAAAGAAGAAAAGGTTTGTCTACTGACTTAGGCTTAAATTACAGTTACTTTAAAAGATTGTGATAGGAAAAATTTAGAAGTAATAAGGCAAAATATGTTGTGATACTGATAACTGTATTATTATAGCAACCATGGAGGAAATATCAATTAAAAGCAGCCCCCATTAAATGGTCTCCACTTACCCCAACAGTGCGCCTCATTAGAAATAAAAAATAAGTGTTCCTACAAAACTGTAATTCATAAATTGTAATTATAAAAAAGTATGTATAGGTATTTATGCTTATATGTGTGTATACACGAAATAAATGCAACATCTACTTTATATATATGACCAAAAAAGAGGGGGGAAATGGCTGCTTAGTATGTCTTGTACCTGACCTTACCCTGTATTTGAAAAACTTGGTCCCAGTTAATAACATCCTTTTCCTCTAACAGCCGTTGGTAGGCTGCCACATCCTTGTAGAACACAGCATAGGCATTAGTATAATGGTCCAGGTTATCTGTCTCAGTCTAGGACAGAAGAAATAATCATAAAAAAATATACCCTCTGGAAAATTCAAATCCTAAATAGATTAGCTACATTAGCTATACATGTCTAGATAATTTCATCAGCAAAATCACCAACTTATGAACAATGGCTAGGTGGAAATGTGGCTAATATATCAGGGAAAGAACAGGATTTGGGAGCTTCTGTTATCAGGTAGGTTTGTAAGATATTTATTTCACAGCTTACTAGGGTTTTACATATATAAAGTTATAAGCAGTGAACCCACCATTAAGAAGCAAATAGAACATTCAAATTTTCCTAATGTGGTCAGGAGAGCACACCTTTGATCACCTGAGCCTCTCTTTAGTCTCAAAAGCATAATGGGGCTGCTTGCCTTTCTTTTTTTTCAATCTTCTTTTATATTTACCCACATGACGTACGTCATCACTTACACGGTATCATTAACCCAATGGAAAAAACCAGCACACACCAGCCTGTATGCTTTATGTTTCTGGAGATCAGCAGACACTAAGGAAACATTTTATTGAACACATTTACACTAGAGGTTTCCCATATTCTGATACTCTAAAGTCAGTCAAATTAGATTTTAATGGTGAAATATGTAGCCAGATAAGCTAAAGCATATGGCTATGATGGTTACAGAATCCCTTTTATTTAATCTTTTTGTTCCAGCTGATGTCGACTCTTTTTTAGTTTTGTTTTTTTTTGTTTTTTTTTTTTCCTTTTCACAACTGTACCTCTTTCTGCCGCCGTGTAATGACAGCTTTGAAGTCTGGCCATGAATCCAATACTACTTCCTTCTGAAAGGGATTCCCACGATTTATGTTCATCACTGCTCCATAAACCTGAGCCAGAGAACCCAGAAAAAAGTTAACCAACCACATTGCTAGCTATTTCAATTGCATGTTACTCTTTATACTTTTTGTTCTGCTGTATAACCATGGCCATGAGTGGAGAAATGATAAATACATATGCACAACTTACACACATACAAACTTCTCTCCTGTTATTTCATTGGCACACATGAAAACTGGTAAAAAGTCTGTGGAAACTCTCCCCAAACTTTGCTTGTAATATTATAACACTAAGAGGTAGCCATCAACTGGCTTACTAGGTGGGTAGCTGGCACATAAATCATTAATAAATACTCGATGAATGGATTGTAATCTGATATATAGATTTAGGGCTCGTATAAATTAAGCAGTTCCAGAGATTATTTTGATGCTCAGCTGCTTTGGAAGTTTATTATACTATCTGAAAACAACCCATGAAATGCTTCAACCCTGAATTTTAATTGAACATCACTTGGGAATGAAATGAACCACCTCCCTCCGGATGAAGTAAGACTTTTTGGTATCTCCTGAGGAGAGTCTTACATCTCCTTCATTATTCTATCCATGGAGTCTTAGATAGATTATCAATTGCTTATTTTTTTATTTTTTTTTTATAGAGGCATGTTTATTTATTTATTTATTTGTTTGTTTGTTTTTGTTTATACAAGCACTGGGTACAGTCAGAAGTGTGGGAGGGTGAGAGAATTCACCAGAGCCAGAGCAGAGAGCAGAGCAGGCAGAAGGACCGAAGTACACTGCTGAGGGGAGCAGCGGGCGGCAGGAGAGGTCTGCGCGCCATGTGGGACCCTCCTCTGGTGGCTGGGGAGCAGCCGGGGATCAAACCGGTGCTGCAGAGGCTGCAGGCAGGTTCGCAACCCAGCGCTCAACCGCTGCGCCACCGGGGAGGCCTATCAATTGCTTATTGATTAAACTATTCTAGTATTACTCCAGAATATTCTGCGGTCTTTCACAATTTTTTTCTCCATGATAATCACTGGTGTCTATCCTACAAAATAACATTCATGTGTTATATGTGTGCTTATAGAAAAGAGAAAGTTGTGGAGGTAACAAGGAGAGCTGAGCTGTAGGCAATGTTCATAGGAGCATTTTCATAATAGACAAAAACTAGAAATAATTTTAATGTTCATCAATAGTGGAATAATTAAATTGTTGCATATTTGTAATCCCTATGAATTACAAAACAGCAACAAAATGTTGGTGAAAGAAAATAGATACAAAAATATTCTTATTGTGTGATCCAATTTATAATATAGTCAAAAACAGACAAAACACAGTTCTGGCTTCAGAAGTCAGGGTAGTGGTAATGTTTGGGGAGCAGGGAAAGGTAAAGTATGGAAAGGAGCATTGGGGAATGGGGAAGACTAGTGTCTGAAGTAATGTTCATTCTTGATTGGAGTGGAGATTACACAGAGATTTGCTTTGTGAAAATACATTGAGCTGCATAATTATACTATATTCACTTTTCAGTATGTGATTGAATTCAATGAAAAAATTAAATTACAATAGAATTGGAACCCACATTTTACCTTCTTTAGTGCTATCTTAATTCAAATTCAATATCTATACCCAGGCATCTGGTAGTTATGTTGCTGTGGGAAAAAACAATAAATATGAAATCAAAAGAATGAGATTTAACCTCACTTCTTTACTTTCTGTATTATCTTCTTTGAGCTTCAATTTATTCATTTATAAAATGGACTAATAAACATCTTATGAAGTTGCTGGAAGGATAAAAATATCCAAACTTTTATTGTAGAGTACTATCCAAATATAATACTTATAATCTAAGGGTCCATCATTTGTGTTTATGAAATAATATCTCTTGTGACCACTTAAAGTCTTTTTAGCTATCTTTGGAAAAAGAGTTAGTCAAAGATGTTGTTGAAGTAAAGTAACCTACCATCTTATTTATTCACCTCAGTGTCAGCATGCAGACTGGGAAAATTTAGGTCTGACTGTCCATCTGGTACTTTTTCTTAGCCATATAGTCACAAATTATCATTCAGATTTTCCCTAAATCATATAGTGTAATCAAAATCAATAAGGCAAGATGACTAGATTTAGTCAACCCAGTACAGTGCATGCAGGACTTTGTCTAGATCACTTTTGCTCACATTTTAGTGTATGTAAGGATTGTGCAGTGTGTTTGTTAAAAATACAGGTCTCTCTCTTGAGAAATTATTATTCATTATATCTTTCTTCTAGCATGCTGTTCATATTTGAAAACCACTGTTGGAGGGCTATCAATTTGCTCAAGAAGCTCAGTCCTCAAAGACAATTTCATTTCATCTTGCATTTTTTTTTCTCTAGGAGATTAAAATATTTCTATTCTTATATTTATCCATAATCTTTGATTAGTGTCATGTTCCACAATAGCTGTGAGTTACCAGCAGGTCTTCCTAGACTAGTAGAAGACTTTAACAGAGAGCGAGGATTGTGCCCAACTAGGCCATTAAATAAACTTCAAAAATAAAGAACTTGAAATAAACAAAATTTTAAAATAATCCCTAAACTTCAGTCCCATTGTGTATACAGATTATGTTCTTATAAGTAAAGCTACATACCCTATACTTCTCTGCTACTTAACAAATTTTAGAACCCAAATTTACCTTAACATTACCTAAATTTTCCCAGGAGTCATCTACAGTGACTGCTAAAAATATAATTATCTGGATCCTATCCACAGTCCATCAAATCAGTCTCTAGAAGAATGGGATTGGGAAGCTGCATGTTAAATAAATGCTCCCAGAAAGCATAATCATCAGAAAATCTTGGGACATAGTCACATGTCTGACATTACTCCACAAATTAATAAAATAAAGATATAAAGTAGAACTCTTAAATTTAAAGTACCTTGAGTGATTCAGGAAAGTGACTCTTCAACATTTTTTCCAGTATCAGTAATTTGGTAGAACAGTTTAGCACCAGCATCTTCTCCAAAGCTCTAGCAATTCCACACCTAATTAAAAACTTGAAAGTATACATTTAATGTCTGCCTGTTAACATTTGAATCTACCAAGGAAAATCCTTGAAGTCCTGCTTTCAATGGGTGTAATTCTGAATGCCATTGCTCCCTCTGAAGGGGGAAGAACATGGGGAGTTTCAGGGCTGGGTAAATCAGAGAATACATGGGCATGGAGGGTTAATGATGGAATCCTGGAAAGATGTGAGCTTCTACACTGTGTGAAGTCTTTCTATTATACATGTTAATTGTAAACTTTCCCATGGGACACTTAAAACTTTATAATGTTACATATGTGTTTTATTTGATTTCAGTGTATCTAAAATGGCCTATGAGTGGCATGAAGGAAGGGCCCACTTCTGTACTGTGCTCCACAGTCTCCCCAGGTCTGAGTCCAGGGTGTGGCACATAGTAATTATCATCTTAAGTAATTGTTGAACAGATGAAGTGAAACTCAAAGTAAGAATCTTACCATTAAGTAGGGAAATTTCCTTTTCACAACGAGGGGCATAAACTAGAGAAATACTTGAGTGAATCATGAATCTAGTGGTTATGAGGAATTATCTGGAGAGGAACATCTGGATTCAAGATGAAGAATTAGATGTAAAAACAAAAGTTGAGGTTCACCTTGTCAGATAAAAGTAAATAATGGAAACGTGTCTATAATGTGGGTAACTTCATTGATTTTTATGCAACTATATTTTCTAGATATGGGGGTCCATATCCCTTGCTTTTTGTTCCCAAGAAAATGTTTTTCCTACCATGCCAATCAGGTCCTGGCTAAATTAAAGAAATGTTTTTCTATATTCAATCTATTAGAGCCTATCCACTTATTTTAGCAACCAGGCACTAGGATGGCAAAGTTAACTTAGCCAGGCAAGAATCTGGTGCTTCTTGGATTATGGTGGATCATTTCTCTACAGCACATTTTCCAGATAGAGACATCTACTTGATTTACCTATGTGGAATCTCTGTGTGATAAGACACTCAGAGTGTTTGATTATGATTTACTTAAAATCCAGGGATAAACTCGATCAGAGTTTTTGTGAGTCTGAATTTCTAAGAAGCATATTTTCTTATGATCAAGTCCTGTGGGCTCTAGTTCACTGTGTTGCATACCTGAAGAATCTGTTTCTCTAGAGGAGCCAGAAAAAATACTAAGGGTTAAGCTAGCATCAGAAAATCAGACTTCTGGATCCTGGCACTCATAGTCTGGGTAAATATGGAACTTTGGAAAGATGAAGTCTCCAAAATTTATGTTAAACAAAGAAAAAAATATAGCCATCATCTCTTCACCACTGTATCTCCTTGACTTTTCACTCATATCAGTGTTCCCTGTAACTTTATTGAATATTACTATCTTGATAATGAGAGTCAACTGTACTTGCAGGAAATGAGTCCCTAAATTATCGGCCAAACTTTCTAGCAGCTAACACAAAGAGAAACAAACTGGATTAGTTGTATGATAGAGTTTGCCCATAACATTATCCTTATATTCCTCACCAAAGCATTTGCTTGACTTTCTACCTGTACCATCTCTAAATGAGATCCAGTTTTCTAACTGCTTAATAATAAAAATTTTCCTTGTTGTGGTTTCTATATGGCCTTCCACATGAAGCAGTTCTTCCAACTCACAGACAAATTACTCAGGATGACCATATTAGAGACATTAAAATCAGAGAGACATTTTCCCATGGGTTCACACAAAAAGCAAACTGTAATTCATAAACAGCATTGGACAATATCCTTTCAGTAAACAGTCATGAATATCATAAGGAGATTACATTTACTATACAAAAGATATTTTTAAGACCACAAAACATAATTTAGAAATTCTCATAGAAGCGGAAACTATTTTTATGCATTTTGAGTCATATTAGAAAGACATATTACTATTAACACTGAAAGCTACAAAAGCAGAATATCATATCCTCATCATTCAATTGTAAATTTTCCATAAATAATATGTTCTAAAATTGTAAGGCAAAGGTTTTTAATTCTTTTAGCCAAACTGCTATCAACAACAGACTCACTAAGGCCTTTATCAAAGAAAATAGCCATACTAAGTTTTAGGGACTGAAGTTTCTTTTGTGTATTCTTTGGTCCATCAGTGCACAAGCAAACACCTAAAATGTTTTGTTGATTAATATTAATCCTATAATGAAAGTCTGATACTCTCCTGGGAGACTTTTAATTCTTATAATAAATAAAACAGGGGCCTCCCTGGTGGTGCAAGGGGTTAAGACACAACCTATGAAGCTATCTGCAGCCACTGCAGCATGAATTCAATCCCTGGCCAAGGAGCTACCCACATGGCGCAGCAGACCTCTCCTCACTCACCTGCTGCTCCCCTCAGCAGTGTATTTCAGTCAGTCTGCCTGCTCTGTTCCCCACTCTGTCTCTGGTGAATTCTCTCACCCTCCTGTGCCTCTGGCCTGTACCCCAGTTCTTGCATAAATAAATCTTTAAAATAAATAAATAAATAAAACATAAGATCCTCTGTTTCTATGGCATAAAACACCATTTACAATACAATGATGGGTATTTTGTTAGTGAGAAAAGAAAGAGGTTTTATTTTCTTTTAAGGCAACTGTAATCTGATTCTAGTAACTTTTTTCCAGATAAATGATTTTCTGTTTAGAGCTATTCCTCTCATCTGTTTCTCCAGTTGTACCCATATCACAATGCAAATGATTTTATATTTCACACTGATCATTTCTCTCATCACAATTTAAAGGCATAAATATATAGGTATAATCTTTTCATCCAAGCTTAATTATAATTTAATCTTTCTATACAACGATGAACTTAATCCCTCTTTTTTTCTATTTCCCCTATTTCTTCGTTCAGTTGTAAGCAGTGATTAGAAATGTATTATTTTAATGAATAAATGCTTACTACAACAAGCTAAATGTTTACCTGTGAAACTGAGGTCCTTTACTGTGTGTCAGTGCAGTAGCTCCTTCTCTGTGAATTTATTCTTCTAGACTACTTCTCTAATTAGTCCTTAGTGAAAAGAGAAGGGAGAGGGAAAGAAAAAGTATCCACACTTGCAGAAAGGGCGGAGTTTATGACATCAGCTAGGTGAAAATCATCTCATGTGCTGCACGAGTATTTTCACTCTATTTTTTCCTTTCTATTGCAATTTGCTCTTATGGTATAAAAACCAACAAATACTAAATTAATCTAGATAGAGATGGACAGTTTTTAGACATAAAACCTATTTATCCACAAGGATCTGATGGAAAGAAATAAAAAGGAATGGGATATAGGTGATAGGCATACAATGAGAAAATAATATCAAGGTATTGATGCCTTATATATATATTTAAAGATTTATTTATTTACTTATTTATACAAGCACTGGGTACAGTCAGAAGCTCGGGGAGGGTGAGAGAATTCACCAGAGCCAGAGCGGAGAGCAGAACAGGCAGACTGACCAAATACACAGGCAGAAGGATCAAAGTACTGCTGAGGGGAGCAGAGGGTGAGACAGGAGAGATCTGCCGCCCCAGGTGGGACCCTCGCTGGCCCGCCGGGATCGAACCAGGCTGCAGAAGCTGTGGACAGCTTCACAGCACGGCGCTCAACTGTCTGTACCACCAGGGGAAGCCCTATCTATTTATTTTAAGGATGTTACTTAGGGCAACATACAACTGTGGCTCTAAGAATTGTCCATAAATCTATTCTTTTCTAAATATCATCTAAGGGAAATTGATTTTAAAAATAGAAAGAAGCTGTTATTTGTAGAATAGACACTGTTTTAGATTTGAAATACATCATCAGAGAAAACCTAAAAAAGTTAAGGATCAAGTTATTTATGAGCTCTGGGAGACATGTAAATATCTTCTGAGATTCACCTTACATCCTATTCCTAAGTGCATCCAAAGCAATACTTCTATACTTTTTTTCAAAGTTCTCTGCTCTCTATAAAACATCACAGTTAAGTAGAATATCTGCTTTTTTTTTTTTTTTTTGCCATAAGGACAAATAAACCAAAAGACAAAGCACATTACTTTCCAAGAAAAATTGCATTAGTTATAGGTAATTAAATTTGGAATGTATCCATCAAGCTAAGCTGAACTTTTCTCTGGGTTTAAAAGGAAAAAGAAAAAAATAAAAGAGGTGTGGGGAGGATGGATACTACTAATGTGAGATAAATTTAAAGAGCTTTGTTGTATAAATATAAGCGAACAAATTGATACCTAGAGAAATAGATGCATTTATACATTATTACAAGATTTACTCATAAGCTTCATGGCTCTTTCTATTTATAGCATATCAGAAAATTCCTACAAAGTCAAATTACAATTTTTTTCACTTCCTAGTTCAATCATTTATTGTTTAAGTAATTTTAAGACTGGAACTTAGTCTCTCTGTGCCTCAGATATACAGGATGGGAAAATAGTGACTATTCTAGGATTTACTCCTCATAGGGTTGTTAATTACAATTAAACATTAATATGAATGCATATATACATGTAATGGGCTTAAAATAGTGACTGGCATATAGAACAGATCAATAAAAACCATTTTTTTATCACTGTTGTACCATTTGAAAAGCTATACTAATTTTGAGGACCTCCTTGGGGGTGAAATTGGCTAAGGCGCATTAGTTTCTATTACTTAAAAAAATAATTTCATTTTTCAAAAGAACTCTAAAGTAGTTTTATTATTGAATTTGGAAAATGTCCCTCCTTCATCTTTCTCTTTTTTGTTTTAATAACTACAAACAAGTTTTGAATATGGTTGGTACAGTAACTTCATCGCCTTGATAATAATAGAGGTCATTAAAAGGAGAGTAAACTTACCTAAGACAAGAGAAAGTGGTTTTATGGCAGTTTAGTAGCGAAGAAATACATTCAACGGCAGGAACTCTTGTCAAGAAAAGCTAGTTAGAACACAAAAAATATTCAGTCATTTTAGACATGATAAAGCGCAAATGGCAAGTTTGAATATTTGTTTTTGC